CCCCCCACAGTGTCCGCTACGCCGGGTCTCGACTCTCGAGCATGGCCATTTGAGAAGAAGAACAAAAAGAAGAAATTATGTCTCTCTACTGAACCCTGTTGGCCATCCATGTCAGAAGCAAGCTGAGCTTCGTTCAAGAGAGCATCCATGGGGGCCCTCGACGCTTCGTGGCTTTTGAGTTGGCCATATCCGCATTTTTGTCCGGATATGATTCGATAACAGTCCCCGAGAATCAGGACGGAACAAAGACAATGACTTATCGTGGGCAAGCCAACGACGCCATCCTGGCGGGCAAGGTGGTGACTGATTCAAGACAACGTTGAACGGCCAGGGTCGAGATAGCCCAACGAAAGCCGTGTGACAGCGGGTAAATGCCCACATCGTTCCCGGCCGCCATGTTTCCGTTTTCCGGTTCTCCATACTCCGTATTCTTTTGAGATTTCGGGGGAATGACGGCAGCCAGCAATCCGCAGGAATTCAGCTCGACGAGGGGAGCGCCGATCGCAAGCCTTTGATTGGTACTGATGCATGCCGCAGGGAGAACGGATACATTGATATCTCGAAGCGGGAGACTGAAAAGATGAACAGGTAGTGGGGTCAAGATGGTCTTGATCAAACCCCATTGGGCTGGTAAGATGTATCGTCTGTATGTCTGTATTCAACGCCAAACTGCTAACCCAGAAGAGAGTAGTACGCCCGCGTTGTGTACGCTTGCTCTGCGTCGGTGGCAGGAAGGCTCAGCTGAGATTGGTCAGGGGGATCAAAACACCGCAACAGGTGGATGATGGCTTTTGGTCTGACGCCAACGGCGCCCGAGACACGGAAAAACACATTAGCACGTACGTAGCTAGGATTATTCCGTACGCCTTATAAGTTGACCCCGGAGAGCCCACATGTCTGTGAAGGTACCCAGGTATCTGAGCGTGTGGTACTTTTCCAGACATCTTCTGACATTTCCAGATTTCGCCGCGTGTGCGTGGTGGTGCTCCTCCAATCTACAAACAGCCTCACCGGACCGGCGAACAAACCGAATAAAGTCTCACACTCTTTCTTATTCTGTTTGAAACCTCTCGATGATGGGAATTTCTTATTGGAACTACCTACACCGATGCTCTGTATTGTAATGAGCTGTACGCCGAGCCCGGTGACGATGGCAGGGTTGATCGCAAAAACTCCTGATCTGATATACGTCGCGATCACCTTCGTTATTTCTTCATACAGTTAGTTTCACCCTTTTGTATTGTTTATGACTCAGTGATATCAACGTACGCCGCAATTTTTACAGGCGCAGTTTTGGCCACAGCTACAGGAACTAGGACCACTGCAGTTGCAGGTCGAGCCGCAGTCGCAAGCCATTGTATGTCGATTTGAAAGTATAAATAAATATGAGTACAATTAAAGTGTGTATATTCTTAATCTCATATATTTTTTCCACATTGAGGACCCTGGCGAACCTGAGTCTTATAACCGGCGCACTTCGCCACTGCCAGGACTATCGTGACGTAATAAGGCGCGCCGTCGACGTTTACATGTTAATGGCCACACGGTGGCGTCATGACCCGATGATAATCACATCCTCTCAAAATACAGATGCCACACATCGAGAAGAAGGCGGCTTGCGTTGTCTTTGTACGGTTTGGTGAAGTTCCCACAGTGGATCAGACTCCTTTTATGATTTATGAAATGGGCTGTGCAACGTCAAATATCCTCTCCAAATGTCGAGAAATAGTAAACCAATCATACCTTCATTTAGAAAGCGCACGTATAAATCATTTTCTGAGCCCGGATCAACGGCCAAGAATTATGAGACTTTCCCTAAAGCGTCGTCGCGAACCTGTTTGAGCTGTTGCCACAGGTCTTCGAACAAAGTTGCCAAAAATACCTCGGATCTACTGTTCAACTTTGTCACAGAACACGTAGTGTCCGTATTTACGAGGCACAAGATGACATCATTGTACCGCCGCCAGGTCCAGAGAAAGCTATGATCAAGTTTTGGCAACAGCATTACGTAGACAGTTGTGACATCACCGCAACCACGCTGCCGCTTGCAGTTGTCGAATGTTCAAAACGCAGCAGGATATAAAAGGCATACGACCTGCCAGAATATATCGCCCTCGATAATCTCGCTTACCACTAGTAAGCTCACCACCAGTTCTTCGAAATAGGATTGCAATAGTCATCACTGCCACCACCATGTGCCCGATTGGCCGGAAAAGTCACAAGAGCCAGCCCGAGTACGTTGCTGCGGGCGAAAAGCCGGTCGGATTTCAACCCAATGCGATGGGAACTCAAGGCCAGACACCAATCGGAAGCGACCTGCCTGGACCGGCACCGCATACAGCCGGGCCGCATCGACACGATATACTCAACAAACTAGACCCGACCGTCGACAGTCGTTCTGGAGGAGCGCAAATTCTCGGGCCGGGGGTAGGCGCATCCAGAGGGGCAAACGCACCCTCACATGGGCAAGGCCCGACAAATACGGCCGCTCCGGGCATGAATGCATCAGGGAACACGGCGCACACGGCCCCTCCGCCTGGTGTTTCGGCCACAGCGCCGATTCAGAATGTACCAGGGGGCACGTATGGGCCTCACTCCTCACGGCTTGCAAATGCTCTTGATCCTCGCGTTGACTCGGACTTGGACAGCAGCGGTGCGGCCTACACCCATTACCGACAAGGCGGTGATGTTCCTACCGCAAACACACAGGGCGAGATGTATGGAGCACAGCAAACGCGACCTGTCAATACGTATGACTCGAGAGGAGACCTTGATCCCAACCTCAGAGGTGCTGCCGCTGCTCAAGGACAGATCCCGAGGGCAGTTCATGTCGGCGGCACACAGCCTGGACCTGCGCCTAATACCGCGGGGCCTCATCGAACGGATTTCATGAATAAACTCGATCCAAAATTGGACAGCAAGCGGGTGATTTAAGAGGAAAGAGTATGACGGAAGTTGTGTCTTAGCTTGATGAAAAAGTTGCAACATTATTCTTTAGTTCAGCATACCCAGAATGTTTTTGATTGTTGTACCAGATTTTGCAAGATAAAGTCCATGAAGTGACCATGATGCTAATCAATAAACCTATAAAGTGAGTTATGAGTCCCAAAACGAGCTATTTCTCGTTTTTTAAGGACAGAAGAGGTGAGAAGAATTAAACTAATACAAGGTATTGTTCTCCAGCTTTATCGGAGGTGGGCAGCCATGGGGCCCAGGTGTTTCCTCAACCTACTCTGTAAGATAAATTATAGTAGGTTGCCAATAATAGGCCTCCTATGTGGCATTCCGCTATAAAACCGAAAAGGGGCTCGGGGACACAAACGTGCTGCTAAGAAAGGATGTTGGAGAAATACCGCACGGTATGCAGAGGGTTAACGACACAGTATATCACGATGGAAGCTATAAATGGGATTGATCAGTCAAATAGTCCTGAATTGAAGCTATCTAGCTCGAAAATTGAGGGCCTTCTGTAGATATCGGAAGTTCACCAATCGAAGGTCCGGCTTCAATAGGGCCGTGGCGTGAGCCTTCACGAGGCTTTTGGTGGCTTCATTCGGCGATACTGTACAATAGCAGCCTTTTTCCGTTGACACGGTAAATACCGTTAGCGTGACCACGTCCAATTTTTGGTATTCCATCGTGTGTGACAAGAACCAATTATGAAGAGGATACAGGGCGACGCCCCCATCCATAAGTATACGAGCCACTCATTAGAGGCAACCTCTTAACTTTATCTATGAGTGTTCTTATTAGGCGAGGTCAGAGTCAACCGAGAGAGGAAATCTCTGCTGTTATAAAACCGGAATCACGACGCTTTGCACTGCCGCTTTTAACCACACCAAAAGAGGCGGTCCATAAGTGAATAGCCGTATGTCTTCAAGCAAACATGTGCGACCAATTCGAAGGCATCTTCAAATGTGGCCACCGGTCATTTTACTGTGTTAACCTTTGTAAAGAGTCTGTTGTCGCCCAGAATTATGACGGCCGGAGGCCCTGTTTCGGACCATCAGAAAAGCACAGGAAAATAATGAGGCCCGAGCTATGTTAGGACTGCGCGTGGCGGCGAGCTGAAGCTAACTTGCTGATGAGGAGGTCTGAATGGCAAGAAAACACCCTGTGAACTGTGCGGAACACCTCAGCAGGCGACCGATGAGACCTCGCCCATGGCCTCGTCTAGGGGTCCTATGTCCTGTTGTAGCCCCCAACAGAAATTCAGCGGTTCGGGAAGAAAAGGTACCTGTTCGGTTGTCGCTGCCCAGGTAGGCGTCTCGGGTGACGGTAAACCCACTCACACCTTCTCAATAGATCCTCGGCGAGAGGTCAAAACGCCGTCAGCACCTAGCTGAAGGGACGATGCTACACCACATTCTACACTTTCTGAAGTTCGATATCTTTCAATGGAACCAGAAGAGGAGCTCATTAAGCTCTTGGAGGAGTCATTCCTCCCCGAGGATGTTGAGGATAATTGTCATGGGGTAACGGCCTGAGGCGATGAGGCCACGAAACCAGGCCGTGATAGAGTTAGTTGCAAAGGCAAGCTTCAGCTTTGACAACAACGAATACAGTAATTGGGGAGCCTGCAACCTACCTGACCTGCCTGACCTACGTGACTGTGAGTTGAGTGTATCCGTTACAGACGCCTTAGCGCGGAGACACAGCGGCCGGGATAAGGTCTCTATCTTTTCCGTTATTTCAACTTCACCTTATACGTAACATGCAACCCGAGGGTTGCTACGATACTGCACGCCAGGCGGCTCTAAACACGATGCGACTTGTTTCGTACACTTGGTCAACTCCCTTGGCTGACACCAAGCAAGGTAGCCTATTAGCAAGGTGACAATTCAATTATGGTATTTAATTTGCCAGCCCTTTACTAATACTCATATGAAATAAGTTATCAAATTCCAAACAAATTGCCCTTTGAGAGTCTAAGCTATGAAACCTCTCTAAGCCAGCATGGCCTTAAGAACCTTGACCTGCTCCAGGACGCGTGCCCGACTAGTACCACCCTTGACTGATCTCATCTCGACGCTTCTCTCGTAGTCAAACGTGTGCGAAACATCCTCCCCAAACCGGCTATCAATAGCCTGTAGTTGCTCCAGTGAGAGTTCGTTCATCGGGATACCTAGCTCCTCGCTCTTAGCCACACATCGCCCAGAGATATGGTGCGTCTCACGAAAGGGTACACCCTTTCGTACGAGATAATCAGCAAGATCAGTAGCCAGCATAAATGGATCGAGGGCAGCCCTCATCCGCTCTGGTTTAACAGTAAGGGTATTGAGGATACCGTTTGCGATCTGAAGGCTATCAGAGATAGTCTTCACATGATCTAACATAGGTTCCCAACTTTCCTGCAAGTCCTTTTGATATGTGCTGGGTAGGCCCTTCTGGGTACACATAAGGCCAGCCATATGGCCAAACGCTCGACCAGCTTTTCCTCGCAAGAGTTCTGCGCCATCTGGGTTCTTCTTATTCGGCATTAAAGAGCTTCCAGTACAATAAGCATCAGCAATGGAAATAAAGCCGAACTCTGTAGAGGAATAGAGAATAAGATCCTCGGCCCATCGAGAAATATGTTGCATGAACATACTACCCCATTGTAGAAATTCAGTGACAAAATCTCTGTCACTAACAGCATTCATGGAGTTCCATATGAGGCCTGTAAAGCCTAGCTCCTCAGCCATCATATCGCGATCGATATTAAAGCCGTTGCCAGCGAGAGCACCACAACCAAGTGGGCTCCTATTCACACGCTTTGAAGTCTCGCGCAGCCGCTCAAGATCGCTCGCAAAGAAAAAGCCATATGACAACAGATGCTGCGACCACAAAACCGGCATAGCACGCTGGAGATGGGTATATCCAGGCATGATAATGCCGCTATTAAGGTCAGGAGGGTCACTAGATTTGGAGGATAATCAGACTCACCACTCGGCCTCAGCGCGGCCGGCAATAACCTCAATGAAGGCAACTAGGTGGCTCTCAATCTCCTGGATCTGGTTGCGAAGCCACAGACGCATATCACAGACAACCTGCTCATTGCGACTGCGACCCGTATGTAGTTTGCCAGCGATGTCCTTGCCAATAATCTCACCGAGCCGACGCTCATTGGCAGTATGAATATCTTCATCATTGGGCATGATAACAAAGGCATCTGCCTCCCACTCCTTCTGAACCTCCCGGAGACCTCTCTCAATTTCAGTGAACTCGTTGTTGGATATGATGCCAGACTTAGCGTTTGCGCGTGCAAACGCAATACTGCCAAGGATATCTTCCTTATACAGGAGCTTGTCGTACACAATACTCGCATTGTATTTGAGCATGAGGGGATCAAGGCCGCCTGTCATGGAGGTCAGCACATTGCACTTGAACTTCCATCAAGAACCAACCTGTGAAGCGTCCACCCCAAAGCATGTTTTCTGCAGGTTTCTTTCCAGATGCCATGATGTGCTGACTGCGTTCTTATCTGCAAGGGTTGAGTTCAATAATTCAAAAGAATTAGTTGGCATCTACTCCGCATCGTGGTCAATTTTTGCCTGATAACCCAAGAAGAGAGGAGCTCCGTGTGGGCAGGTCACGTGGGGTCGTGACCACGGGTAGTCACGTGATACCTGCGTCACCGATCTCACCACCAAGTTTACCAAAGGTTGCTTCCCAGCTGTCAATGATCGTCGCTCTGCTGATGACCCTATGCTTGGTTCATGTGCCAACTGCTTCTACGGTGGCTAAGGCAAGCGATGTTCTTTGGGACAATCGTTACCTCAAGCTATACTCAAGAACGACAAAGCTGCGACACTAGACGACGTCATGAGTCGCACCTTTCCTAACCTAGAATCAGCCAGGCAGGCCCTCGATGGTTATCTCCAACCCAACGGGTTTCAAATGACCCAAGGCGTATCTCGCCGGAAAGCTACAGGCTACTTCATCAGCAGACAATGTTCTTGTGTGCGAATCCGGTGGCTGAAGTCTCCACTTCGGCAGCACCAAAACCATCTCTGTCCTTGGAGGATTACGATTAAGCGCAAAGATGACTTCTGGGTTGTAACTAGCCCCAGAGGAGAGCACAATCATCCTCCAATCGATCACTATCACCCCAGGGAGAAATGAAGATGCCCTGCTAGTCAGTGCAAGAGAGTAATGCCGATGAGTGAAAGGGTGACACATATTTGCGAGCCGCCACTTACGAATTGTTGGAGGTGTGGATTGCGACTTCTCAAGAGCGAACAAGCAGCACATTTAAAGATTTGCAAATGGTATCGATGCAGCAAATGCAGGAAAAATGGCATTCTTCGAACAGAGAAGGAGAAACATTCCCAGGAATGTACCGGCCAAAAATCATTTTCTTGCCACAGGTGCAGCAAATTTCGCCAACCTCCAAGAACATTACAAAGTCTGCGATTACTGGAGATGCTTCCGCTGTCGCGAAGGCAAGATATTAGCTTCAGAAAACTCGAACACGCCAAAGCATGTTCCAAATCGCTGCCGGATGTGTGTCGTAAGTGCGCGAAGCATTCAACACATCAATCTATTCGACGACATGAAGCAGCATGCAAAGTTCATGTATGCCCGCAATGCAAGATCCGTGGGAGCAAAGTCAAGATCCTGGCACATATGCGCACCTGCCGTCGGACGTTGTGTAGCTCCTGCAGCTGCAAGATCAGTCTCGATGAAGATCATTATTGCCAGTTTAAGAGGTGTAACGCATGGGGGGCAGGCGTTCATAACGACTTGGTAGACAAGCATATGTCAGACTGCCCGGGATGGAGCAGGAACTGGAATAAAGTGCCATTACGTGCAGTGCCAAGTCCTGCTCTTGGCGCAATTCTGTTGCCAAAAACCGAGTTCCCTCTCTTGAGAGACTGTCTCTACTATGACGGCGTGGATGAAGTATCCTGCCAACACTGCGATCGCCGACTTCGAATTCATCACTTTTCTTGGCAGCTCAAGATTTCCCTGTCAGGTCGCTATCGCTGACAATTACGGCGAATGGATCATTGCTCCCACAACAATCAGTCACGGCATCACAAAAGGTGCCCTTCTCGACTGAATTATGAGCATAAGGGCCCGCACAGGACCTTCACGTTGCATTAGAGCTGCCAGAGTTCACATCTACTATCCTGGTAGGCAAGAGGGGATCACTCAGGGTAAGAGCTGCCAAGAGATCGCGGACCTCATTGATCAATACGTCAAGGTTAGTAAGATATCCAAGCCCCTCTTCCTACGATGATATTAATTTTTACTTATCCAGAAACACGGTGCTTTGAAAACGTTCGTGACTTGGGGCTCACAAGACTGTGATCTTGACTGCTTGCGGTATATGCTTAAATCTACCAAGGCAGAGCATCTGCTCCCTCCATCATTAAGATTTGCTGTTCAGCCGCTTGCATAGTGGCGGCTACTGAGGCATCAGCTGGGACTGACTGCAACTACACTTCCATTAAACCTCGCTGATCTCTATGGTACTGTTCCCCGAGGATAGAAAGCTGAGCTTGGAAGCCTATGACGTTGGGGCTGACGTCTCGACAGCGTATGGGCTCGCCATTGCATACCTCCGACGGGCTTTAGATATGCATCTGCCTGGCAAGATTAATTCTTGGTTATCGCCGACAATGAAGAGTGCTCAAAGCGGATGGAAGGTCTGTGATGAGGAGGCCAACGACATTCTCACACGCCTGCAGGAAGCCGGAGTTGGTAATGACCAGACTGACGAAATCATGAACGATGGAGAAGAAGCGGAAGAAGAGATTGACCTGAGCTTCCACGAAATCTTCAGCGATGTCGAAGATGAGGAACTCCGAGACAGCAATGAGGATGGCGGAGATCTTGACAACCACTTCCACAACCTTGGGAGCGACGTCGATGATAAAGAGGAAACTGGAGGCTTCGACAGTGAGGAGGAAGCGGGGGACCACGATGATGACGACGAGACTGGGGACTGCCTTGAAGTCACGAGCGATGGCGACGACGATGATTATGTTGACGGATAGTTTCATCGAGTCTCAAAATACTCCTGCTGCTAGGTTAATGCTGAGAAGGGCATACATTACCCTCCACAAGTCTTGGTCACTGTGGCAGAGGGTGTGGAAATGAGAAGGAAACGTCAACCAGAGGCAAGCCAGGTGTCCTCGTCGGAAGCCACATTCAGTGCGTCGAGATAGACCGCGGAGCGGCCACCCACTAGACATAAATAGCCGAACTGAACTTGATTTTCTTCGACAAACGTCGCATTGTTCATGAATAGCTACATAATAGGCTGAGGGGGAGTAGGGCGTCCAGTCTGTGACGAACCACCGCGCATGTCGCTTCTCGTCTGCTTTCGCACTCTTCCAGCCTGGCTTCTAGAGCACTCTCCGTCGGTGTCTGAGTTTCCGAGCCCGCCTCTGCTGAACCTTTCGAGAGACAGTTCAAACGACCTGGGACTGTTGAGGGTTGCCCAGGTTGCGGGACCTGTTCCTGCCTCACGTAGGGAGCAAACCCAACTCCATCTGCATCAGTTAATTTACCTTATCACCAGAAAAGCCATTTGTGGCGGCAAATTTTCCGTTTGATTGCAACCTAAACTCATGCCTGCGAATAACTATAGGGATGGTTCGTTTACGGAGGCAATATTCGCGGTTTGTCGCATCCCCGTTACTTTCTAAGGAAACATCGTTCGTGCTGGCGTCAATGATGTCACCATCCTCTACGATGGACAGAGCAAAATAAAATGCCAAGTTAGAGACAACATTGACGCGACGAAATTAAGAATGATTTGAAGCATTGTTTAGGATAGCTGCACTCTCTCGACATCACGTTTTCCGCAGAAAGCCGCCCACCCATGCGCCATTACTTCTTTTAGAACACATTTTAGTGTATGAGTATGAGGCGTACGTGATTATCAGAATATATATGAAAACTTGGACGACATTATTTGAATATACTCCATGGTGATGAATTCATATTTGCACGACTAAGGTGATCCTGGTCTAACATCTGGCTGTGTGGCCAGCCCATGTCACACGGATTAGGTCAAGCAAGGATCAGAAGCCCTCTATTACACAATAGAATCACGAGAACTATGGGGCGCCCTAGGCACGGGCCGTTCCTTTCATGTATATAAGATGGTCCCCCCTCGCCTTATTGCTTGGGGAAACCAAGGACCTTTGACATCCTACTCCGTACAAGATTATCATTTGAATTGAGCCTTTTGCTTCTAGCCCCTCTATTGAGCCCTTGTCACAGCCCAAGACAAACCTCCATGAATTCTGCTGGCGATAGTTTGTCGCAGGTATTATATGAGTTCAGTACGCTTTCAAAGAGCCGGATTGATGAAAATACCGCACTGGAAGCCTTTTCTACATGGAACATAGGTAATATTAAGAACTCGGGGTAATAGGAAAGACTGCGTACAGCCTCATGATTCCATGCGTTTCCATCATAATCATCAGAAGACTCACTTGAGTCTAATTCAGCACTACGTCCTCAGATTAATCTAGGCAACTATCGGACAGACCGAGAATCGTCATAAATCTCATGTACATTGAATGAAATCCAAGTAAATAATTGGTTGATTGCTGATTCTTTATCTCATATGAAGCGAGCCTAAAAGGGCGTGTGTATGAAGGTCGTGTAGAGTCCACGTAATCGTTTTCGATTCTCAGAAACGTGTACTGATATCTGATACCATTATACTTAGGAACTCAGGGCAAGTCCGGTGGTTGCTCAGCTTTGCTCAGGGGCTGTCAGGAGGGCTCCGTGAGGCCCAAGAACTGCTCAGGTTAAAGCAGCCACAGCTCAGGAACCCTTTTAAGGAAGGAAACTGGGTCTGTCGTGATTCCGGTTTTATACTGGGCTGTTATACGACACAGGATCACCGGCGTCAGCAGCAATTCCAATACTGCTAAAGAACATGTTAATACTGGTCTCTGTCGTCGTATATGAAAACGGCCGTGGCCTTCAAGCTTTTGTGTAATTAGGAAATTTATTTACTCCCATGACTTGCCTTCCCCCAGGAGCTAGGTAGTATGAGCTAGAAAAACTCCATTCACAGTTTATCGCACTGCGACATTATACCCCCGGGTTAGGGCCATGACCTAGGACGACCGATACAAAAGCCAGCAGTGGATCGCACTGCAAGGCATTCTAGTCATCAGCACATTTCGCCGAGATCACAAAAGATGAATTGCCAGGAGGCAAAGTCCATGACTTGCCGGGTGGGTTTGCCGACGCACTCGCTGAAGATGACACGGCCAAGGAAGCATGGCTAGATATTACTGTACTTGCACGAAACGAATTAATTTTCTGAGTGCTGAGCGCGAAACAACAGACTACTCGTGAGCGCAGGATTCGGCGGACCGTTTAAGAGCTCAACGATGGCATGTGCCGGCTACGTTGTTGGCCTAGCTGTCCACATCATGAACGGGCGGTAAATTAGGTCATCGGGGCATGATTTCGCCAAATCCAGTTGTCGACTACGCTATAAAGCTGAAAAGATAAATTCAAGTACTCTATGATGTATCATCTTTCGGCGAGGGCTGGACGTTTCCCAGGATGCGTTGAGCATGTTTGGGCAGAGCGAAGTGGAAGCACGACAGGTCCTCAGAGGGATTTTCAAACCCGAATACTTGAGCTGTGGAATTCATCTTAAGGATGAAGGTTGGGCCAGGCTACGCGTTGAGAACACGGATGCTTCTCACGATACGATAACACACTGATTTTGTGCTTCGAGAATACTCCCCCGTCCATCGAGTCGGCTGGATTAGTAAACAAGTGCAATGAGATTGCTAGTCTCAAATGCCACACATTAAAAGAGGCACAACCGGTTACAAGAAATAGAAAAAAGATGCCCACACAACACTCTGTTCAAATCTGGCAAGGCAACATCCCAGTCGTTGTCCGGCACGGTGACCTGTGTCACATTTTCAAGCCCTGTTACAAGTTACACAAATCAAATACCAACAATACGGAATTTTTAATCATTCAATTGTGACTATTACAAGTCGATCGGTATACGAATCTCAAGGCACTGTTCATACTGCCCGCTATCCCTAACATACACCCCGGATCCTGGCTATTGGTTGCCCCAATCGTGGACAGCCCAAATGCTCTCATCTCCAAGCCAATTCCAGACCATGTTATCACCCTCAGCCGACCTGCTAGCTACTATTCCTCCGCCAGGGCTAAAATCCGGTCCGACATCGTTGTACACTTGGATGTGCCGTGTTTTATGCTTGTCAATCTCCAGCACAGTTCCACCCACGATTGTCTCTTTTTCCATGGATTCCACCATGACATTGGCCACTTGCTCCGGGGTGATCCAGCCATCCTTTTCTTGATCTAGATTGACCAGCTTCTCGGGGTGTTCTGTCCAAATCGGCGTCTTGACGAGTCCCGGAGCTACAGCAGTGACACGAACGCCTAGTTTTGGTTCAAGGTCGGCAAGACACCGCGTAAATCCTGTAATCGCATGCTTTGATGCGCCGTACAGCGGAGCTCGGAATGTCGGGATTTGCGCTGCGATAGAGGAGATGAGCACCACTCGTTTCGGGTTGTCGATGGACACCGGTGCCGGGGCGGGAGGTCGGGTACCGGCTCCAGACTTTGGAGGACCGATCCAATATTGCAGAGCGAGCTGGGTCGTCCGAATGGGATGTGTTAAATTGATGTCCAGAAGAGCATAGCGGCCAGCATCGATGGCATCCTTGCTCTCCGGGGATCCTGGCGGGTGCCAAAAGTTGGACCAGTGTGGCTCGTAAATACCTGCTCCGGGACAGACGATATCAAAGCCTCCGAATTCCGCAACGGCGACTTCGAACATGCGGTTGAGATCCGGCCAGGACGTCACGTCTGTCTTGGTGAATATGGCTCGGGGGCTCTTTGCCTTGTCGCTGTGCTTGGAGACGAGCTCCTCGGCTTCCGGGCGAAGGCCAAGGTCGGCAATTACAACGTTGCAGCCTCTTGACAGGAGGAGCTCAGCAAACGAATGATTGATGCCTGTTTATTCTTAGCAAAAACAAATACTCTTGAAAAAGGTGCTAGTGACATTGCGAACCAGATCCTGCGCCGGTAATGATGGCCGTCTTGCCTGTAACAGAGAAAGGCGTGGAGGCCGTAGTCGATGCCATTGTATTAATGATATCAAGATCCTGAGTTACAATAGATCAGCGTGTACTCGACGAGATGGTGAACAAGGATATGCCAAAGCAACAAGCTGATGCGGCTGACCCATCCATTGAAGGTTGTCGCCATGGCTTGGAACCCCTCATCCACAAGACAACAGATGGGATTCACGGCTCGAGTAACAAATACGTACATACATGATTGGATCAGCCGACTCCCCATGGACCCGACTGGGACTCATACGTGGTCTCGGGTTGCATCGGGTACAAATTTGTACCCAGGTGCTACCATTACATCACCAACGTGGGGTTTACCAAGGCAACACCCGAGATTCATTGATTGGCTTTGCTGCTTTCAACTGCAGGACTTTCTTCATTTGGATATGCGTGCCTGGACCACTAGAACAGTCTTATTGACAAGGCCAAGTTCTGCGTGGGCATGACAAATATTACGAAGCCTGCTCTTGACCCCATAGTGCCATTGATGGAGCAGAAACGGAAAACATAACACGACGGCTGTCTGCCAATATTTTGAGTGTCTTAATGAACATTTAGTTTGTTTGCCCAAAAGCAACACACAAACCACATTACTAACTGTACACGACGATCCCCGTGCAAGTCACCGCAGAAAGCTCGTGTCGAGACGAAATAATTACACGGCACAAGTAATTCATCCACATGGCACAAGGCTTACACGGGGCCCATTGAATGGATGAAAAAATACAGACAGAATCTGGGAGCCGCTATTCTCCCCGTTCAATTTGGCAGACCCCCCCGCCGCTTTAAGCGGCTTTAATAATAAGAGGTCAACATATTACGCAGGTATAGTCGATCCTAAACAGCCAAGTGATTGTTGGCGTTCTGCTTCCTTTGGCTAACCAACCAACGAAGGCGCAACCACCAAAATATGCGCTCCCCCCTCTCTTGGACTCGACTCTTCCACAAGAAATCGGACAGGCTCGTTTTCATAGGTTGTCAACTTTGAGACATGAAAAGTGCCGGCGACATTCCATGCAGTACGTAACGCCCAGTTTCTTGGTGTCTTCCAAGGCCGGACCGGGAGATCCGTCCTAACAAGCTGGGCGAAAATAAGATATGCTCAAAGCAAGAAGCGCAACATTCGATCCGACCAAGCCCTATCACATCGACAACTCAAGTCATGGAGAGCTGCTTGTTGCCAAAGCAAATTGGGGTTGCAATTGGAGGACCAGAGCAGCTGTCAAAACTGCTAACATCATCACCAACAGGCTACGCAGGTTCCACGTCAATACAGGATTTCGGGCCCCCAGTTCATATTCAACACCAACATGGATTCGATAATGAATTAAACCTGGGCTCCTTTTCGCTCCCCAAAGATTGCAACGACGGGGTGTAAGTGACGAATTACTATTTAGCTCGAAGCAGATTCATTTTGTCAAAAACTGCAGGCTTTTGACCATAGGTATGGATTGCATGTCGAAACTCACACTTGTCCACTCTGCGACTAAGAAGAGCCAGAGAACAAGTGGGCTGAGAAGAGAAGTTTTCCCTCTATTGAAAACGAAATCTTTTTCAGCCAGATGTTTACACAGAATTTTCAGCCGTGGCGGTGACTACCAATAAGATTTCACAATATTTGCAGCACCAGGGCGGCAAGGGGTTAAGACGCGCATCTTTATCAGAATATACGTAGCAGCGTCATCTGCCTAGACGTTGTACAACGAGATGACACATTCCGTAGGATTGTGATCATGTAAAGCAAAAAGAGAAAGACAGAAGTACCGTGTTATTGGTCTGGAGATGGAGGCAGCTGGGACGATGAACCGCATTCCCGTCGGCATCATTCGAGGCGTCTGCGACTATGGGGTCCAACATAAGAATAAGGAATGGCAACCGTATTGCCGCTGCAATGGCTGCCGCCTGCGGAGAATTAGTTAGTTAACGGCTTCTGCAAGAATATTGTACTCTTGATCAACCGTACAGTAATACATAGCCGTCCCATTGGCTTACCCGGGCTGGTACGCGAGCTTCTCAGCCTCGATACGCGTCACGCAGGCAAAAAACAACCAGTTGACAGCAAATACAAAAAAGGCACAGTCTGTGATGACTTGAGCAGCTCCTAAACCGCTGCGGCTACTTTCCCCCACCTCACAGGAGCCGTATTATCGACTTGGTGGCAGTTTGATCCTGTTTGGGTGCTTGATTTGCGGTATCTCGGAGCAATTGGACGAGGCGGAGGGTTGGTCTGAGCACACTGGGGTTGAGCGCGGTTGGAGATATGCGTGCTAGGCTTGCTTCTGTTGCACGTCGTAATAGGTTCATATGTCTAGTCTGGATTTCCTGGCATTCAAATCCGTGTTCCAGTGGTATTATGGCAACGTATGTATCACTTGACAGTGCATTTCACTCAGTTTTGTATCGGGTAGCATTACGACCACGACAGACTATGCTTGATTTGATTCATTTTTGGCTACGGGCGGGACTCGAAACCGTAACTGCTCACCCGTTGTCGAGACATGCTCAGGGTTCATCTGCTGCCGTAACCTACTGTTGGTTAAATTTGCCGAGAAGAAACGGTCCCCAGCCGAGCCGTCACATTCAGCTCTCAGCATGATGGACCCGCCATCATACAACGTTGAACTTTTGACAAGTGTCAGACAACGAGCAGCCGTGAGCTGATTGCTGTCGTTGTTGTCCTCTGAGCGGGATGCTAAGCTCAACCCCCAAGAGGCAAGTGGGAGCATCATACATTTTGTCGTGAACTATACCAACAGTACCAAACAACCCATCAAAAAACTTATTATTTCGAAGAGAACCAGCTGACAACAAATAGACTGTTTATAGTTGTCATCATGCTTAAGAAAAGTAAATTCTTGAAATATCCACATCTCTCTTCCAAACAGGCCCTTGAGGCCTAGTATCTAGTGGTCAACTTTCAAGCACAGGCACTCATACACGCAAGTCTAATCATGCCATGAAGTCCGGTCGGATCCCATGCGAATTCCGGTCAAGGCTCCTGAAATGCTCTCATACACGGTGAACACAATGCCTCCGCTGAGCACAAGTCGGCCCAACCGCATGGAACTACCGCTCCAGAACGCTCTCGCGGCCACCATCCAGAAAAATATCCCTCACAGCAACCGACACCGTGGTTCCCATGGCCCCCTGGTCACGCGTCTTGACTGTATCAGACGGCTGGGTGGCAAAAACAGTAATGATGCCAGAAACTGCACCAGGCCAAAAGTAGCTACGAGGTGATTGCCATACGCCCCGAGGCGCGGCGACGCGGTTTCCTTGAGTGAATTTATCTGTTCCCATGCGAACTCCGACGTGGCTGACTGCTTGATTGTTGTAGAAACGAGACCACGGTAGACTTCAGCAACGCCCTGCTCGGTGATGGTTACGCGTAGTGCGTGACCATTTTTGTAACGTCTTACAGGCATGTGTTTCTGTAGGACTGACGGTGTGGCTTCGGTAGCGCCAGCCGTGGCGCCGGATAATAGCGAAATCGCAAGGCTGGTATTCTGATTCTTGTGCTTGTGCTTCTTCAAAGGAAGCGACATTACGGGAATAGAGATGCTGGAATCCTGTAATTTGGACATGGTGTTGCGCAATCGTGAGAGCAGTCCTTGGTGTGGCGAATACATGTATACCATCAGATCCCCTGGCTCTGGTGACGTGGAACATGGATAGATGAAGTACCAAAGATGACCGTCCACAGAAAGCAGGTTGACGGGAACCCATCGGTCAGTGGGTTTAATTATGCCGCCATCAAGGCGTTCGCGGTTTGCAAGCCAATCTTCAAACATGTCCGAGTCCACGGGCCGTGTGGGCGAACTCCCGTTGTCGCATGTCGGTCTGGGTTACTAGGCTTTTTTTTTCTTTCCTTTTTGGTTTGACACTTTGAATTCATAACCGGAATAGTATTGCCAACGTCAACGATGAGTCTTTGTTGCGAAGAGTTCGCTGCCTGAGAAAGCATGCCGAACCCTCGATTCTATCAACAGTCATCTGCTTAAATACAAACAGCGCCAATCCCTAGATGCTGTCCCAATTGAAAGACCACATCCACTGCCAATTGTGCCCGTAGCCGGCCACTCGTCGCACATGCAACTTTAGTTGGAGCACCAAATTGCTACAGCTGAAGGATGTACCACGTAGTGTAATGATACAAGACAATCCCGTCGACCCTCTCATCATTTCAAACTACAAGCTGCGTACTAAACCCTCCGTGAATGTTCCGCGTGCGCCACGTTGCATTCCGGGTCTTTCGGCGTATTTCGGTTCTCGTAGTACAGCTGCTTAATTTGAGGCAAGCCAAACAAGGCGTCCACATCCTCCAAGCTGACGCCCTTGGTCTCGGGAGCGCAAAAGAACACCCATGGTATGGAGACGGTTATCAAGGCGGCAAAGAGGAAGTAGGTGCCGCAGCCAATGTTGGTGATCATGTACGGCACGCTACGGGCAATGACAAAGTTGAGAATCCAGTGCACTGCTATGCAGATGGACACGCAGGGGGGAGCGGATGCGTAGCGGGCAGATTTCCGCCGCGTAGATCCAGGGAATACCAGCCCAAGAGAAGAACCATCCAACGGCGTACACGTAGATCATGGCGATGCCCGCGTAGTCTGCGGAGCTGACGGAGGATGAGCCAGCAGAGCCGGGGGAGGATAGTATGACGTACGCGCCAATGTACCACATTGCTGTATATGAGCTGAATGTTGTCCTTTTTGTCACCCAGAAATAATGACATTATCCGGCGTAATTTTACTCACCATGACGAAGCTTCCTGCCATTAGAGTCATCGTTCGTCCAAATCGATCCACGACAAATACCATGGCGAATAGAACCGAAACAATTCTGACAACGCCGTAGACGCCCGTGGCGAAAAAGGCAGTGTTTCTTCCCGCAAGACCAACGCTCTTAAAGATGGCGGGCGAGTAATACTTGATGGCATTGGAGCCCGCCATTTGCACAAAGGTGAAGATGAGGCAGCCGACAAGGAGCCTGTTTTGGTTTCCCGGCTTGGCTAGTTCCTTGAAGAACGGCTTGATGCCACGTCCCTCTGCAATGGCCTCCTCATGCTCGATTTGCTGCAAGATGCTGTGCACCTCCTCCAAGAGATAAGAGTGGCTTGGGGGTATGCGCCTGAGTCAGAGGAAGGGAGGCGACGCACTCGTCGCGACCCTCGCTCTGGGCCAGATACCTAGGCGATTCGGGGATGGAAAACGTGCGAACCAGCAGTGATGCCGGGACGAGTTGCACGGCAAAGCTGATGGTTCACTGCTTTCTTGCTAGATTATAAAATGGTTATTACCGTAGTGCGGTTTGTCGACCCAAAGTAAAGACTTCTAATACCAACACAAAGAGTTGGAGTGGTTGGACCATGACAAAGGCTTATCGAGTACCTAGGCGCTACAAAACGAAGTTGAAATTATAAAGAGGGGGACGAATCCAACTTTGGCAGAGTTTGCAGCACCTCTTGTGCCCAAATCCATTCAACATCACTTTGGTTGGGCCGAAATGGCGTATAGGGTTGCTGTTCTGGCCAGCAAGCTAGACCTAGTCCTGACTATCCACGAGTAGTTCCAGTAGAAGCATTAGTCACTTCAATGGACTTGGGGACGACAATGCCCTTGATACCGTCAGGATGCTAAAAAGAGCGAAACTGTGTCAATTTAAATCGGTAGGCATAAGGCCTCCTTGCTCAAAGTAAACAAAGTAAATGCAGAGCTACAACCAGATGATTCCTCCCGAGCTCTTCCCGATTTTTGTATGCAGAAAACCCGCCACGCAGTAGCGATGCCACCTTTGATACCACTGGTATTGGAGCGAATGCAATCCTACTACTACGCTGTTCTGCGGAGCAAAAACAGCAACGCGTCGATGAGCACCACCGGCATGGTTCCCCAAGTGCGCGCCTCCAGCAGCCCAGACATGATTGTTCTCTGGGAGCAAGCATTGAGCCTCTGGCCTCTCATCATGTCAATGAGAAAGGCCAGGGCTCGGGGCATGCCGGTAATGGCCGCCGAGCCGTGTGTGGAAAAGAAATCCCGCTTGTAGAGAACGGACGTGCCTCGCGCGCAGTAAAACTCGTAAAGCTTATTGATGGTTTGTACGGGGGAGATCCGGTCCTGGTACGAGTGGTACAGGTAGATTGGGATCCTCGGGGCCGTCTTCCCCAGAGACGTCTTGTTCATCACGTCGACAATGGTCGGAAGGACGCGAATCTCGGTACCGTTGAACATGGACACGACGTTTTTGCCGGAGAAGGCCTTGGTGCCGACGGAGCCGCACTGCTTCTCTATCTTCTTAAACAGCGGGCGGTGCTCACGTCTCAAGCGCGAGTATATCGTCTTGGCAACGGCGGGATACTCGTTGGCCAGGCCGAGGGCGCCGGCTGCGATGAGTCCTGCGTGTTTGCCGCTGTTGATGTTGTCGACGACGGAGGGGATGTCGGCCGCGACGCCCCCGATGGCCGCTCCCACGATTTCGAGCTCTGGCGCGTACGTTTGATGGAGCTCGGCTGCCCACGCCGTGGCCACGCCTCCCGAGGAATATCCCCACATGCCGATGGCCGGGTTTTCGCGGATTCTCGTCAGGCCGGGACTCTGGATCGCCACCCGTATGCCGTCCAAAACGGCGTGGCCGGCGAGCTTGCCGGCCATGTACGCCGCTTTGGGACCCTGGTAGTCGGGAATAAGGACGATCCGGCCTTGGTGAAGCGCTGACTGGATGGTGAGAAGTTCGCTCCGTGAAATCGTCGTGTCGGGGACCTTTGGAAGCGCAGGGTGTTGGTCAAAGGTGTGCGAGGGGGCGCACTTCAGCGCCGGCGTGTTCTGCGCGACTTGGTACGAAAGGACTTGGCTGTTGTTCCCGGGCGACGCGATCAGGACGGTCAGGACCGTGGCAGTTGCGTTGCCGTGGCTGTCAGTCGTCCTGTAGAGGATCTGGCGACTGGCGTTGAGATTCACGTCGGTGAGCCCAAATGGTGAGTTCGTAAGGGGGAGTTTTCTGTGTCGCAGGAGGGTTCCCGGTGGTAGATGATCCAACTTTTCTGGAACAAGTAGAATGGGTCAAGCTTGGGATGACTTGGCGAAACTGCCGACGCCGGATTGAAAGGTGCTGCCAATGCCGATGATCCAAGAGTCAGAAGGGCGAGAGCCCGGGTCGCTAGAGACCTCATCGCTGTGCCGTTTGATATTGCCGCGTACCAGTCACAAGAACCTGCTTTCTGTATACTGAAAGGAACGGCGTTGCGTATTCGCAAACTTGAGATGATGTGCAGTGCGGCGGTCAGCTTGCTTGCTTTGGCCAATGTCAGCAAGTGCTCCGGAGAACTTGGTAGAAACGACCTCTTACGGTGGTTGGGTTCGTAAGTATAACAGGGTTCGTATTGTTAAAACAAGGGGGGCGGAAAGGTCCTGATTGTTAAAAGAAGAGAGGCAAGAAATCATCAATTGCCGATGAGCGTAGACCTCGTTATATATCTTGTTCACGGTGATTTCAAGTTGACAAGGTCAGTCAGTTATATAAATTATGTTTGACTCATATGTAATAGCTAAAACCATCACAAAACAGACTTTATTAAGGCGCAGCCGCGCCGCGCTATACCGCAGCCATAAATTATAGCTTCTCCCTATCATGTCTCGTTTAGTATGTGACGGTTCTTTTTTAGGTACGACCAAGCACACAGTGTTTGTTTTACTGGCGCTTGATTAATGCAGTTCTTGCGTAATTTTGGGACAGGTTGAAAGAACTAGAAAGAATTAATCAATATAATTCGATTTCAGCGGTGAGTGTCCTGCAAGACACCACCAATTGAGCCCGGTAGTCACACTCAAGCTCAACCATCGTGGCTTTGGTGACTGTGGCGATGGGATACTTTAAGAATGAGTAGGCATTGCTGCATAAGCAAACAAACCAATCTAGACAGAACCATAATATAAGCATATTTGTAGAGTTGTGTCCGCGGTAATGTCCAAACTCGAAAGCGAAACCATTTACTTGCATTGAGCCTGCTAGACCCGGCATCGTGGGAATAAACTCCAGCCTTATTCCTAAGGCGGAACAATGGAAATTACGAACTAAGAATCAAGTACAAAGTATCTCAAGGGTCCAAGTTCGTAGAGTATGTGCGGCACGAAGCTAAGAATAGCTAGGTTTACCGCCACACCCGCCACTTTAATACCAAGACTAGGAACTCTCCGTTCTACTTTCTTGCTTGCCCGAATATAGTGCTATTAGCGGATAGCAACACAATAATTGGCCGAGTTCATAAGAAGAACACTCAACTAGGCAAGTTACACAACTTAGTAATCAATATCAAAGACTGGCACCACTTACCCTATCACAAAGAATGACCAATCCGGGTCAAATTTCAGCCCATTTAAATGCGCCATCCGCCGCTTTTAATGCAACAACCAGTGTAAATCGCCAACCAAGAGAAAGTAGCCCAGAGTCCTGGAGCAGTGTTGTGAGTCAGTTGTCGACTTTGGAACCTTTCATGGCCGGGGCTTTGGGGTTAAGAAACTGGTATCCCGTCATGCCGATATGGGAGCGCTAGACATGTAATACCACCGTAAATCATCAGCGTTATTTGAGGTCATGTCGTCGGTTCAATGTCGGAATCACAACCAGTGCTTCGCGGGAGCGTAGAAGAGACTGGAGAGCGTAGTGAAACGATGAAGGCTCAGGCTTCATTTCTGTTCGACTTCAGGCTTTCAGCAGTTGACGTCGATGGATCCATGCAACAAACACTTTGGATGTCAGTTTCAGAAGATTCGCGTCATTTCATCGCGGGACAAGACGAATCGCATGTCTACAGGTACACAAGATGAAGCACACTTGATTGTGAGGAAATATTGCTACTATATTTGGGGTGAGACGTGTGGCGCACTTGTTCATGATTAACTTGCCCATCTCGCTAAAAACCAAACGCAGGGTAATTATTATGTAATGAATCCAAGCTTGTAGCGGTGGTTATTTTCTTTTTGTAGCACAGCAAAAGACACGGTCTGCAGAGGTGTGAGTCAGTTGTCTGCTGGGATACGGGTTGTGACGGCGTTGTCCCGATGGTGTTCCATCAGTGCTCGTCGGAACCTGTTTTGCAGGCTCAGCAGCCCGGTACTGGTGTGTTACAATAAAATTACCAAAGACTCTGTTTTGCACGTCTGCGCTTCTTTGTTACAACCGGGCGGCTGATGAATGCATGGGAGGCACAGCCCACCAGTCATAACTAACATTTGAAGTCATACACTTGTGTGTGTGATGTGTAATTACTGATGTATTCATTCAAATCCTTGTCAGCCTCTTTATTCATTCCTATTACGTTGTGCAGCAAGTTCGCTTTCGTTCTGGGAATTCTAGCCACATGTGTTGAACAAAAAGAGAACAGACGCCATTTGTGTACCCTGAATCAGCAATTGCCGGTCCACCCTTGTGTAATTTGACATGTTCATGTCTTGTTTTTGAAGTGTTGCCGACTTCTCCGCAATGTGTTGGAGTTGTCAGAACATTTAAACACCGCTCGCCCTGCGTTGGGATAGGCACCATCCGGGAGCAAACCTACATTCCTACACATCACGAAAATCTATCGTCAACAAACCTACATTCAACAACCGGTCTCAATATACCAGTCCACGCCTCACCATGAGCCAAGGAAATGGGTCCCTGCCTAAGGCGGTCTGTGAATCCTGCGGCGTGACGGGCTCGGGCTGGGGGTTGCAGCAGTGTAACGCTTGCAAGAGTGTCTCATTTTGCCTTCGGTGCCGCAAACAGAAGAACGACACAAAGCCACATGGCAAGTTTTGCAAACAAATCGAGCAGCAACGAGTGGCCTGCGAGAGGCTTGAACAAGAAGCCTGCGAGAGGCTTAAACAAGAAGCCTGCGAGAGGCTTAAACAAGAAGCCTGCCCGCCCGGATAGAACTACGGCCCAAAAGTCAGACTCTACAGCACGAAACGTATAAACGTGGAGTGGCGGGCTCAAAACGAGGACGTCGTTAAAGATCTTGCTGAGAAAGCTTGCAAATTGGCCATGGTCAAGCTCGGTACATTCGGTACAGAAAAGCTGCACGAGAACAAAGTGCATGACACTATCAAGCTCCTGGACCAAGTGAGCAATCTAGATTTCTGGAGTGAACCATCATTCAAGCTCATGCTTCCAGCACTGTATATTTGTCAAGCCAGAGACCAGAAGGCTTACGACTATATCATGTGGTTCGCCCACAATGAATATCAGTACGACATCCCAACCTTGGGAAGACCTGCCACGGGAGGTGGAACGATAAAAGCAATCTTAATCATCCTATTCTTGAACCCGCCAACATCGAGAGGGCCCTAGAGAAACATGCCGACTTCTGGAAGTTCCGCGTTCCACTTACATTGATCAAATTGCGAATACTTTCTGACCTACGACACCTCAAGCAAACTCCAAACGCATTCAAAAATTGGAGTAAAATGGGGAAAGACGCTCCTGTTCGCCGCGGCGGGCCATCTAGGGCCGGAATGGAGGTGCTTCAAGACGACAAGCATTTGGACGAATACATTATAAAGTTGGAGGTTGAGGTGAAGCATTTGGCGCGGGTCCACGAAAAGAAGGAGCAAGTTTGGGAGAAATTTTGGAGGCATATGTTGGTTGGCGGGCGCGGGTTGGTTTCTGTTCCTCGGCACTGTGACGATTCGGAAATACCTGGCCACATGCGCGCACTCATCACGGCCAACTACCACTCATGGGTAGACACGAGCGCGAAGGATCAGATGGACGCTTGGGGATATCTGAACCGTGATTATGTTCCAGGTCCCACGAGGCGTTGTTGCTGGTAACGCTGCTGTTTTTATCGATTTCGTCGTTTTCGGGGAATCATCAAGGGCCGAACGGGCACACATTGGACATTGAAGCCGCATATTGGGGGACATTCGGCTGAGGACTGCTACTGATGGGCTCAACCGTCAGCCCAATTCAGGAACCGGGGCATGCCAAACGGAGCGACGGATATTGCGACACTTGAAATGCGAATACACTCAGTTGGAGGCAAACGTTGGATACGTTGACGTTTAGAATGAGTTGAACATTACAATCCTTTGAGATGACTTTGAATGATGTCCGTTTCGTCCCCCTCCATCTACCCACTTCAAGGTGGGAAAACCCAAGTTTATCGTTTGCGCATATGCCACCAGACATCATCTTTACCAGTCACAGACACCCCAATATAAGGCATGGTTTTATTCATGAATCAAAGTATCAGCAACCCGCGACGCATCTAGACGGAAATAGCCCGGCGGCGGGGCTCGCACTCGGCGTCTCCATTAATTCCGCAGTTTGGAATCATTGGCAATTACTAATGACGTAGCATTGCCGTTAATAAGAGCTGACGCATCTGCGACTGTATCTGCCGACGCCGCGGGAATAATATCTTGCAAAAACACTACTCGCAGGCATCATATATCAAGAACCAAGTGATTATAGATAAAAAAGCTAATAGTCGTTAGTGTCGTGAATATAACATCACCACATGGCCCATCCAAACCCAAGCCTTGATAACCTCACTCACACATGATACAACCCTCCTCTCACAACACACAAATACACACATTCACAAAAATGGCTTCCAAACTCCAGGGCCTCAAGGTCCTCCAAACACCCTACAAAAGTATTGCCAACCACGAGATCCGCACCGACGTCCTCGTCCCCGAAACACCATTGTCCGGCAAACGACCCGTCATCGTGCGCTTCCACGGCGGCGGCCTCGTGAGCCCTCCCTCCTCTCATCCCTTCCACCAAATACTAACCTGCCCCAGGTCATGGGCGACTCGCTCTACTTGCCGTTCTACCCCCAGTGGCTGACGGACCTCGCGCTCGCCCACGGCGCCATCATCATCTCCCCCAACTACCGCCTCCTCCCGGAAGCCACGACGCCCCAAATCTTCCAAGACATGGCTGATTTCTGGACGTACATCCACTCGCTGTGCTACGCCCGCCGAGAGAAGGATGTATTTCCCACCGGAGGCATTACAGGCGGAGCACGTCAAGCTTCCAAAGGGCGGCATCACGATATTACAGGGGAAATCCGACAGCGTCGTGCCCGTGGAGTCGGTGAGGCGATTTGTGAAGCGCGCGAGAGAGGTGGTTGGTGATGGGGTGCGTTTGACAGAGACGGATGGCGAGCATGGATTTGATTCCGGCTTGAGGTATGACGGGTGGCTGAAGGACGGGTTAAAGAGACCAGTCTATACATGGTTGGAGTAAGCAGCTACACTTTTTGAAGAATTACTTACAATGAGACGGCATCTGGTATTTGTTACTTCAACGTGTCGTCTCCTGATGTGGCCGGTGGTTTGTTCTTCGTGCTTCGGAACAAAGTGCATGCAATAGCGGTTTGTGCATTCAAGACTCTACAGTATACTGTACACTTTATTCTGATAATACCTACATACAAGGCAAGTTCCTTTTCGCATCCTAGCAACGCGAATCAAAAATCCAGAGGGGGGCGGTACTTTGTGCGGTAGATTCGAGAGTGTTGAAATGAGTGAGCCGTACTCCTCGCCGCTTTCCTCTCCGACCTCCATCCAACCCGGCATCTCTCAAGTCTCTCACCTCACAGACACACAACCAACCAACCCACCCGGTCAGCCCAACCCCTTTCTTCTTACCACACTTTCCTCCGTGTTACTCTCCAGATGTCCGACATCAACCACCATCCCAACCCTTCCACCTCGCCGAGCACCCACCCTACATTCCAGAACACAACAAAATAGCAACTGACGATCTATAGCACTATTCTCTCCATTCCACGCGTAATCTCATTGAGCTCAGTGGCCTCGCCCACTCCCGCCACTAGCCTGTGGTTCCGGTCGCTGATTTGAGCACCACACTCGGAGCATCGCGCTTCTTCCATGGGCCTCCCGCATTCTCCAATCGTAAAAGGGTGGCCGTTCTCGCAGTAATACCATCGGCCCCCCGTGCCGATATCCCCAGCCATGGCCTCGACAACATTGCGCATCTCCTCTTTGCTAAGTGGCCGGTACGACCCATCGAGAGAGCTCGCGACAGCGTCAATCTCGCCGGCGAATATCATGGTAGACGGGTACACCTGAGACATCTCCCTGGCTCTCTCCAGGAGCGCATACCCATACGCCCGCACGGCATCTTTGCCCGGGACAGCGCCTCCTTCGAAACCCGGCGGCACCGAGCAAGCATCGACCTTGCACGACAGCGCGCAAAGCTGGGCCTCGAATATGAGCGCCTGGACCTCTTCCTTGGGGTGCACTGATTTGTTCGCGAGCTGGATCACTTCCTCGCAATCCCGAAACTGTTGTGTGAAGTCGAGGACAAATTTCAAGGGCAGCCGGGCCCTGCCGTTGCATCTGGCGAAGAAGTCGCTCAGGATTTCCATCTCGCACTTGAGGAGCAAGGTGCGTGCGAGAATGTAGCCCTTCATCTGAATGACGGTTTCGTCAAACTTGAACTCCTTGTTTGTTTTGTGCTGGCGGTTGGCATGGCGGACCAGGTCGGCGACTCGCTGGAAGGGCTGCTCATCTACCTTGACATCGTTGGCAAAAAGGCGAATATCCATCCATGTTGCGAGCAATTCGCCGTACCGCTCGCTTAGGACGTGTTCCTCCAGGCAATCCAGATACATAAATCGCAACACTGAAGACTTTGAGCGTCTGGGCTTCGCGCGTGCTGTGACGGCGCCCAAGACGCCGGCGTCGCTGAGGGCTTCTTGCTCCAGCAAGTACCTGGAGGAAAGCAGTCCGTATTGCTTGTGCGACCAGGAAATAAACTTCTTTGTGGCCTCGTCGAGAATGGCGCGGCGTACGATTCGGCCGTATCTTGCAATGTTTCGAAGCGACCCTCTGCACGTTGCGCAAACCCTCACTCCGACACCGTCCATCGAGAATGGTTCCGACTTTTTGTAGATACCGACCGGCATTCCATTCTCATCCGTGTCGTAATGCGACATCATGTCCATTTGACCATCCATGGAGGCCACAGTCAGGAAATGGCCGCAATCGGGAAAGATGCATGGATCTTGGTCGAGGTCGATGTCTCGGTATTCCTTCATCTCGAGAAAGTCCACACAAACAGACTTGATGTCTTCAGGGGCGCAGGATTGACAAAACTTGATGTCTGGGCACTGCTCGCCGCAGAGCGATGGGCCTAATGGAGATTCTCTATTAGTATGGAACGTGGCAATACAAGCAATAACAGGCCTGCTCCCTAAACTGGTATACAACAACACCCTTGGAGAAGAGCTCAACTTACATCGATGTCCGCAGCCAAGCATCTTGTCACATCGTCTTGAACATGGTACCCAGTCACAGGGTACAGCACAGGGCATGGAGCACTCGGCATGTGGACAGAAAGACTGGCATTTTCCTTCCGCACACGGCACGCAGGGCTCATGGCACAATCGGCTGCATTCCGAATGCCCGCAACGCACCTCGCAGGGCTCCTCACATGGAGGGCATTGTTTCCCTTCATGGCACATCTGGCCGCATTTGTGTCGACATGTCGAGAAGCCCCGGCCGCATATCTGCTTACAGGGCTTGTGCATGGTGCGAATGACAATGTTGTTCGTTCGAATGTTGCAGTCGAAACAGGGTTGTTTGCAATCATGTCCGCATGGAAGATGCCCGCCGCAAGAAGCATCACAAACGTAATTCTCTCGGTTTACGTCCTGCCAACACGCAACCACCACCTCATGCTCACACCCGGGGACGGTTTTGGTAACCCGCATTTCACACTTGATCGGCGTAGGGTCCTGCACCTCCCAACATCGCGCGTCCTTGACTTCATGCCCACAGGGTAATGTAATATTGACGTCTTTCATCAGAAACGGGCACATTTGCGGGCAGAGGTCGCCGCACCGCTGGGGACATGGGTGATCACAACCCTTCATTGAGCGTGGACATGGCTCCCGGCACTTGACAGCATTGTGAAGGATTTCGGAATGGCACCGGCCCAGGCAGGAATGGCCGCATTTAAGCCTCATTCGACAAGCAAGATTGCATCCGCTCTCTGGCGCATACAGAAGGAAGTCGTCTGGCTGGCTTACCAGGATCGGTGTATCTGGATGGCGCGGGCACTGAAGTTGGATGCTAGTGCCAATGTTTCCTTGTGCGTCCATAATGTTGATCACGTCATTCCACATGGGCACACTTCTGTATGTGTTTGAGTTGCCGATGATGTACATTCCATGTTTTGCCCGAGACAAGAGCACATTGATTCTGTTGGGCGTGCTGAGAAACCCACATCTGTTTTGAGTGTTGCTCCTGACGAGCGAGACGACAATGATTTCGGCTTCCTCGCCCTGAAAGTTGTCAACAGTGGCGATTCTGATGGTTTTGAGAAGAGAGCTTTTGCTCGCATTTGGTGGGCCCGGCTTTGAAGAAAGATCCGTGTCAACCTCCAAGGCCGCCAGCTCATCCTGGTCTCTTTCATTCAGGGAAATCTCAAATATCAAAGCCATACGGTGACGAAGCCTGTGAAGCTGGTCAAGGTATGGAGTCAACACCGCTATCTGCCCTTGTTGGTACTCGCCCTGTCGGACAAGATGAGAAACAAGCGCCGTTGTCATCTCCACTTCAAAGTCGTTGGAGTGAGATGTATTCAATGGATCGTGCACAGAGGCCCCGGCTTCGAGTTGTTCATGATGCATCCAGAACAGTCTTTTCTTCAAGCCAACCACCTGCGGATACATATGGACGCCCTCGGAGTCGTTAAGATCCGGATACAGCGTCGGTCTGATGAGCGCCGAGATCGATGGGTGCATCCGACGCTGTGTCTCCAAAGAGCTGAATGGGAAACGGGGATCCGTAGCATGCGGCGGTATGACTAGTCTCTCAAATAGTGACATGTCCAAAGAGTACTGAACACCGCACGGGTTGGTGCTTTGCAGCTCATAGTTGTTGATTTGAGGGCGAAGCTGCAGGTGGTCACCAATCAGGATTGCATGCTCCAACGACGGAAGCAGGGCCGTCAATATGTGAGCTTCCAGTACTTCGCCTGCTTCTTCGCAAAGCAGCACTTTGATTCTTAAACGGCGGAGGAGCTTTATATTCTTGGCTAGGCCAGTCGTTGTAAGGCCTATAACGTTGGCCTGCTGAAGGCAGCGAAGGCTCAAGTCGTTGCCGACCTTGGATCGCTCCTCAATGTGTCCCGAGTACTCGTTATGAAGCTCAGAAATCAGACGTATAATGGGATCTCTGATTCTTTTCATCCAGTATTCAAATAAAATCAGCCTCTCAGGATGGTTCATCCCCCACAAATCTGATTGCTCCAGGATCGAAATATCTCTCGGCACAGCGTCAGCATCGTCTCCTGTATGCAGCCATCTTTCAAATCTTTGTTCCGGCTTGTGGCGCGTGACTTCAATCCACCCATCTTCCTCTGATGGGAAGATACTTTCATATTGATGGGGATAGTTCTCCAGAAGAAATGCTTTGAGGGAGCCCCATGATTCGCAGTCCGCCAATTCTCGAAGAGAACGACTGACGTCTTGGATAACCTGCTTTATACCGCTCTCGGCTCGACCTAGCTTTGCCGCTTCTTCTTTTGTTTTTGCAAAAAGCTTGACGATGTTTTGCAGGTTGAGATTTGCCATTTTATCCGACTTTGACCGGGAGCCCATTCGTATTACGCCTTTCACTCCAGCATCTAAAAGGTGCTCAAGCAGTTGATCCAAAGCATGATTTGTGTAGCATACACATAGAATCGGTCCTAGCTTGGCCCTTTTCTTGTTCCCCAGCAGCACCTGGATGATCTTCTCTCCGGTGTAGCTCTTGCCAGTCCCGGGTGGACCCTGAATGAGAGAAATTTCTCTCGACAGGGTGTTCAAAATCGCAGCTGATTGCGTTGCATCAAGAGTTGAAACCGCCGCTAGTTCAATAGAATCTGGTAGGTTTGTAGGAGACACCACAAGGCCGTCCTGGAGACAGCTAAGATCAAAATAGAACCCCGGCTTCCTGGCGTAGAGAGCTGGCTCGATGACCACCTCAGCCCCAGCATTTGAAGCAGGTGCCAAAATCTGACTGAAAGGCATATCTTGCTGTTTATACATCTGTTGAAGGGCTGCTAGTGTATGCCTAAACGAGTCGAGGAGAACACCGGGAAACTCGACAAGGTAGCGTTGCTGGTGGTGGTTGCTGACGACACCATACCACTGAAGCAATTCCTTCACATCTTCGACTTTATCCTCGACAAGTCTCAGAGTAACAAACAAGTAGTCTGGATCATCTGATAGGGTCCAAACTTGCTGGTGGTCTCCCTCATCAGTGCTTGCTATTTTGTCTTTTGGCGGTGGAAAGCGTGGTTCGCTCTGGCTTCTCAATGTAGACTGAGAAACAACAAAGAACTGGACTTGACCGGAGGCGGAAATCACACAGACGAGTGCACCAGCCTGGAGCCTACGACTGCGTTGCCACCACTCTTCTCGTTGCTTCTTGGTAAGTTTAGCGGCAGCCATCAACTGGCTACAACGAACGTGCAGTTCGAGACCACCATTCCGACGAAAGTCGACCTTCATCGGGACGGGGTTCTCGTATGTATATGTTCTCAGGGTGTTCTTGACCGCGCTGTGCGCCTCCTGGGGGCATCTCAAGTGCTCAAGTACATCTCTCACTGTGTCTCTGAGTTGGCCGACAGTATCCTCGCGCAGGAGGCGGAATTCTCTGTCGAGACGGCCGCGAATGCCGCCAATGTGCCACTGAGAACTATCGTTGGTGGGGAGATACTCTGCTCGCGGCGACGTGATTTCTTCGCAGGTTGGTAGAATGCTGATTTTCGATATATCTGTAAAATCGTTGTCGTGCCTTGGCCCTTCGGCCGACAAGGTCCCAGGCAGGTCTCTGCGCAGGACAAATTCCTCTCTCACAACAGGGTCCCTTGGCGGATCCGACATTTCGGGAATGTCTTCGCCGACTTGCAGCCGTCGCCTGATATAATCGATGTACTTCACAGACTGTAGGGTAGCAAACGTTTCCTGCTCATCCGAGATTGCGGCAACTGTTTCTGCAAACTGGGTGGCTAGTATAGCGAAGCTCTGGTTGACAATGTTGGAAGTATTGCAATCGAGAACTTTGGACAAGACTGCGAGTGAAAGTTCTACCACCGACATCTTGGATGTGGTATCAGTTTCATGGGGCCACTTTGTCACGAGCAGCGCCAGGTATCCAAAGAGTCGATTCATGCGAGACCCTCCAACTCCAAGAATAAAGTTGAATATAGTCACAACCTCTTGCTCCAGAACGGACGAGTCGATAACCCGGGGGTGAGTGATCAACTGGAACAGTGGCTTCACTTCTGTGGTCCAGAAGGTGATGCTGGGGCCCATCTGAAGAGCCACAGCAAGATGTCGTTCGACAACGTCCTTTATAAATGGAAGGCCTTGATCGTTTGCGAGTCGCTTAATAACCTCTTGCGAGGAACCGACATCCCCTTCCATGAGCTCTAGGCCCAGTTTAAAGAATCGGCTCACGACTGCCGGCGGCGGGCGTGAGATGGTGACTCCATTGCCAAGTAGGCACTTCCACTCGCGCAGTTTGCCATCAATTCTCTGTGTGGAGACTCCAAGTCCATTGTTGTCAAAGAAATCTGTAAGTTCGCTTGGAGTCTCCTTGGCCAACTTCGAGGAGGTAACCGGATGCTGATAGCGGCATCGTTTGTCAAACTTGCAAGCACCAGTTCGCTTAAACGCCCAGCATATGTCAGAGTGGTGATTTTCGTCTACAGCCCCTTGAAGGGATTGACTGCAAGAATCCAGATGTCAGTATGGGTTACGATGGCCGCTCAATATTGGGCCAACCAAATACCGTTTGTCCATGCCGATCTACGGCGAGATGAGTGCTGGTAGATTTTCAGTCCGAGAGACGGTCAGCTTGTAGGGATTAAAGTTTTGCTACGAAAGCTAGATGGAATTTTTCAGAAAGAAAAGGATAGAGAAAGGTGATTTTTTTTTTGTGTGTGGGTGTGTGTTTGTGTTGAAGAGAAAAGCAGTTAGCAAAAATTTGTTAACCTAATGGGAACTGTGAGCTACTGGACACGTGAGGCAGCCCGTTCACTGCAAATATTATGAAGTTAAATTCGACCGTTTACAAGTGCTCACGCAATTGTTTGTGAATCCAAAGTGAGTCGAAAGTGAAGTTATACCATGGCTACCACCGGCGCTTGCCTAGCTGGTGGCAGCTGGTGGCAGCTGGTGGTAACTGCCAGCGTTTTACTTCCCATGCTTATAGGCGTATGTTTCCGCGTAATATTCGAATTTCAGTCCCGAATTTAATCAGCGTTTATTAGTGGCCAATAAGCTGGAGTTGTGAGGCTATTTTCGCGAACAGCCTCGAGTTGTGGATAACGGTTGGAGGACCAAAACAATGCAATGTAGCCCATGGTAGGTCCGATGCCAACGTGGGCCCTTGTCATAGGTATAAGCAAAGCTGTTGAAATCAGACCTCTTGAGCGGCTGCTGCCAATGATAATGATGATAAATAGAGCCCAGGCCTCTTTTTAATTTTCTCCTCTGGGGGCCCTGCCGGGGGTTGTCTGCGGTAGGCGCTAGATAGAAGGTGCCCTTAACATAGACGGTAGGATTGCGATGATTTACAGATATACGTACTCATAATGAAATCCTAGCCAATAATAATAATGTAAATGCCCTCTAACTCAATTAAAAGTCTGGTTAAGTTGAAACTACATGATGCTGGTGATTATGGTGGCGTAGCATTCGTACACTCTTATTAAAGAAGCAAAGCTGGAAGGTTTATCTAAGCACTTTCTGTTATAGGTACTTTGCTTAATAAATACATCTCTTAGAGGGTTATGTAGCATGAGAAATGGAAAGCAATTAATATCTTATATAATGGAAAATTCTTCTATTTTTAAGACTAAAATAGTAAAGCAAGTAGAAGCGTAAGCAATAAAACAGAAACAGATTTTGCCTTGCTTAGTTAGTTTTATAATTGTAAGAACCTTATACTCACAAACCTAACGTGCAGGCAATAGGGTAGCATTCCCGGATACACATGTGTTACGAACGTCACTGCACGAGACGCGGGAAGCTGGGCCGTACTGGTAAGGGTAAGCACAGCTGCTAACTAACAAGGACATTAAGTCACGTGATAGCTTATTAGATTATATAGATAATCTAATAAGACGGGATTATTAGGATTATTAGGCGATTTAAATAATTTAAGTTTATAATAGAGAGATAAACGAATACTTAAGGAGAAGGTATTCCTATAATTAAATAGTTTAAATCTTTATTAATTAATTTAAGTAATAGTTTTACTATTAAGAGTTATACTCTTAACGACCTTATTATAATATTACTTAAAAAGCTACTTTATAGCATTTAACCTAACTTACTTTCTAAGAAATATATCCTTTATTAATAATAATAACATGCTAAAATTCCTTAAGCTTAAATTATATAATAATTATAAGGGTAATATAAGAAACTTTCTTATATAAGCTTAAGCTTACCTATAAGTTAATAAAAAAATCTATATAATACTTAAGTTATAGATTCTTTATATTAGTAACCTCTTAATTAAAAAAGTAATAAAATAATAAAAGTTAACTCTTCACGTATATCTTAAGTATAGTGTTAAAGTTAAAGTAAAAGTTATTTATATTTTCTTTAATTATAAAACCTTTAAAGAATAACTTCTCGTTATATTTAGAAATTCTAATAAGTATAAAGAAGCTATATAATAGCTTACTTAACTTAAGTAGATTTCTAATTATTAACTTAAGAAGGGTATTTCGCTCGTTTATTTTATAAGAAAGTTTATAGAATTAAACGGGAGGTCTTAAGATATAATTAGTTAATATAATAATATATAAGGAGAATAAAAAAGGGAAAATTACCTAAAAACCCTTAGCTAGCTTACTTTAATAGCCTTAAGAATAAGACTAATAAAGGAGGGGTATTATATTATAAACGTTACTATATAAGACGCGAGAAGCTAGGCCGTACTAATAAGGGTAAGTATAGCTATTAACTAATAAGAATATTAGGTTACGTGATAGCTTATTAAATTATATAAATAATTTAACGAGACGGGATTATTAGAATTATTAGGCGATTTAAATAATTTAAAATTATAATAAAGAGATAAAC